TGATAACAAATGAGTCAGAAAATAAAATATCTTTATTGCATATTTACATGTACTTGTTGTTCAACTTTTGTTGAAATCTGAAAAATTTCATGTATTCACCATTACAAGAGTGTTACTGCTACAAGTAAATAAACTTGTAAAAGTTTTTTTTTTTATATTCTAGTACATTCTCATGTTCATTTGTGAGAATAGCCAATCAAATATCTGGCAGAAAGCAATGATTGACTGACATTAACATAAAGATATTTAAAGCCACAATAATTACATTGTAACCTCTGTAATTTCTAGAACACAAAAAGTATCTGCCCACCAAACTCATAAAAGGGCACCAATTTTTGGTTGGAATTTTACTTGTCATATGTATCTATAATTTGTTACAGATAGGCATATATTTTGAGAGAAAAAAATAAGGTTTTCTCCCAATTATCGTTTATACTATCACTGGGGGTGGTAATTTTACTGAGAATTGATTTAAACTTCTAGAACGTGTTGTATTAATATGAACACTACAGTTTAGGTTCAAATACTTAGATTGAAATACTTATAACTATTTACGTGTGCTAGCAACTTCTATTGTGTTGTTTACTTTATCAGACTTGAGATGAAAATTTTAAATTGTTGTATGGAAGTAGCATTTAAAAGTTTCTTGGGGGGGCTTTTAAGTCCAGTTTCTGCATAATGCTTACAATGTGGGATCCCTCTACGACCTTAGCTGTTAATAGGACGTAAAACAATCTAAAACCAAACGTATGCCACATTTCTGTACCTGAAGAGAGAGTGCAGTTTAAAAAAAAGTTAAAAAAACAAAAACATATGGGAAATGTAATTTAGCTATATATATACAACATGGAGATATCTCCCAGATTATCAAATTCCTGCTATATCTTGTAAACTTACTGCTAAAATCGTTAATATAGGACAATACAACTGTTTACCTCGCTCTGAGAGTGTTAAACAGGGCTAGCTTATATTTATAATTACCGTTCAACGGGAGGTAACTCCAGTTAGTCTCGTGTGTTTATTGGGGTTCTTGGTTCAACTTGTTCGGACTCGGAATGAATACTTCACTGAGTGTAATCAATAATAATTCCCTTCACAATTGGGTCAATGTCCTGTATCTGTTATAAAAAAGTGTCAGAAACATTAAGTAACAGAAAATTAAATCGTTGATTTATTTCGATACAGACTGTGGTTTGTATGTAACACACTGTGACAGAATGAAGATTGGTTTCTGTAATGACGTTTTGTTTGCGGCCAACGCTTGGTTTTGGTAAAGTTATTGATTTTCTGACAATTTTTTAAGAAAACTGCGATCATTTGTATATATACGTCGCGGTCAGCTGTCCGAAAAATGTATTTTTTTAACATTCAAAACAATTTACTGAATTAATGATATACCAGCAAGTATTCGACAAAATGACATTTTAGGTAAGCTTCCTGAATTACTGAGGTTTTGATCGTATTGCAAATACAAAGTCCGTAATTATTCTTCATGACGGACATTATATAAATATTACATTCATTAACAGGTGACAGTGAATATTGTCAACCCGAGAAAACCATTGTCACCCGAGGCGAAGCCGAGGGTGACAATGGGTTTTGGAGGGTTGACAATATTCACTGTCACCTGCTAATGAATGTAATATCTATTTTGCTACACCAAAAGTCAATGTAGCTCAGAAACGGCAGCAAACCTCGATAATGACATCTTGTTTGTTGATAGTCTGCTGTTTACAATCGCTATCGCACCGGCGCTTGATGAAATTGGCTGTTGCCGTCAAACGTTCTTGTGACCATCACGGGGGGGAAACGAAGCGGTGCACGCACATTTTTTGCGCATGTGATATTTTTCACTGTCTCATGGCAATATCCCCCGCGCCCCTTAAAGCCAATGTATTTTCGGAGGGTGACAGAGATTTTTGTTTCATTTTCTCCCAACCAATCAAATAGCTATAAATTCACTTGAGGTGTAACAAATTTAAATGATAAATTGAACTTGATAATACTATGTCTTCCAAAATAATATCTAGACATAAATTTTCTTCTGATTTGCAGTATTTTGTGATCATTACAATTAAACAAATAATGATTTTCGTCTCCAAGTTCATTCAGGTCGCAAAGAATACATTTTCTATCTTCTCTTTGAATGTTATTCCATCAACCACATTCAGTCATAAATTTAACATTAAAAATTCTTAATTTATAATTAACAGTTGCTAGGTTTGGAGGGAGATTTAGCAGGTATTTTTCTAATACTAAGTCATGTTTATAGATTTGGTCCCTTTAGGTAAATTGAGAAAACACCGCTTCTTCAATTATTAATTCACGACCATACAACATGACAGGATTAATAGCTTTATCGGAAATATCTAATTTACAGTCAATTGATAGATTATGGTCTCTGCATTTAACAATAGCACCATGCATTTCCCTAAGGCCCTTATCATATAATTGTCTAATATTTAACTGCGTGAAACCATTTTGGGTAAAATGGACACCAAGATATTTGAATTATTTCACAATTTCTACTTCATTTCTGTTAAAGGTAAAACGTATATTTTGGGATACTCTCCCTCTACCAAATATCAATATTTTTGTTTTATTGATATCCCCTTTAGGATGCCACAATTTTGAATAATCATAAAACACATTGAGTTGTTTTGGTAAATCTTCTGGGGTGTCTGCTAACAAAATAGTGCCAGCAGCATATAACATTACATACAACTTTAGATATACGTGTAACTCATTCTCAAGTTTCCCCTCCAGATTGTATAGGCCTGTACAGTCATTAGATTCTAAGTAAATCAGGGTCATTTAGATGTTAAGAAAATAAAAATGGGGAAAGATTTTCACCCTGCCAAACTCCAGAATTATAAGTAAAATTATTGGAGAATGTTCCATCTTTCATTACTTCAGCCTTAATACCATTGTTTTACAATAACTTTAAAACATTTTCCATCCACATTATTTGTAATTAATTTGTTTCACAATCCTATTCTCCAGACACTGTCGAACACTTTCTAAAAATCTATACAAGCACAATATATACGGTTTTTGGATTGTTTTGAAAGTTTCAAGTAATGAGCATAATGAAAATATATGATCTAAAGTAGAATGTTGTCTACGAAAAAACTAGTTTTCAAGTTCGACATTGTCTGCACATGTATTTAGACGCTCGTTAATTACAGCAGAATGGACAGTTTGAGGCTTTCTCCAACTTAAAACTAAAATTTGTATTAATAATGGACTCTTTTTGTGTTCAGAATGGACAGCTACTGAACAATGTACAGGTATTGAAGTCAACAATGACGAGGCGTGTATGCTGTATGAGCTATGGTCATTCATGCATGAATGCATATTGTTAACCTACTGGACAGGTACAAGTAGAGTTACTATATTTGGAAATGCACATGCTTTTCATGTCAAAATACTGATATAGTGAAGCTTGGTAATTAAAAGAGATAACATCTGATTCTCAAGAGAGGAAAGTGTCACTATCAACATCTTTTTGGGAAATTTGTGATGTAAAGACATGTTGATTAAGACAAAACATAGAACAACGATAATTACTAAAATTGCACATCAATTGTCAGCTATTAAACACACAGATACGTTTGGTGTTTTCCATTTCTCTTTACTGTGCGAAAACCTACAATATAGGAAAAACAATGAATACATTCACTCTCACAAAGACATACAATGAATACATTCACTCTCACAAAGACATACAATGAATACATTCACTCTCACAAAGACATACAATAAAAACATTCACTCTCACAAACACATACAATGAATACATTCACTCTCACAAAGACATACAATGAATTCATTCACTCTCACAAAGACATACAATAAAAACATTCACTCTCACAAAGACATACAATGAATACATTCACTCTCACAAAGACATACAAT